CAGGCAAACCCCAGCTAGGGTCTGGGGCTAGGGATGGGGGTTAAACACCCCTTCCTCTGCTCAAATGTATGTTGGTTATGACTGTGGACTACAAATCCCAGAGGCACCTGGAAGCAGGAAGAGGAAGTGATAGGCAACCCTGCAGATTCTTACTGCTGTGAGTCTGGACTGCAAATCTCAGAGACCTCAGGGGCAGCAGGAAGAGGAAGTGAGCACAAAGCCTATGCTGGCTACATGTCAGAGAGGCATGGCTCTAGCTCCCTCCAGCCTCTGGCCTGAGCAGGCATGTGGCTGCATTTCCTGAATCAAAAGTAAATGTATGTCCAATTGTTTCTCAGTTTAATCTCTGCCGCTTAGACTAACCTGCAAAGACTGAATCGATTCAGCCTTGGGCTTTTTGACGGTACTTAATCTAGAAGTACAAGAGTTTAGCTCAGCAGTATGGACCTCTTTAGGATCTGTCCAATCTGCCAAATTCAACTGTGTTGTAATGAGACCCTTTGGTTTAATGTTGCAGTGAAGATGGATAACGTCTTCCTACCTTCAGTGAGCCAAGTTTTGAAGTCTAATGCATGTGGCAGAATGGAGGTGGATTCCTGCTGACTGTATTTGGCATCACAACACTGATTTTGTGTAATGATAGGTGTAGTACCAGGAACGGAATGGCTAAGCAGCACTCTAGAAAACTAAGGAAGAGCTTTATCATTGCCACTCCTGTTAAAGTCTCCTCACAACTGGAAAAAAGTCTGGTAGTTCAGAAAGGCACATTCCCCTCTTCCATCACAAACCCCTGAATCAAAACAGAGTCGGTGTTTTTAATAAAAGGCCTATATTTGAGAAATAAAAATAACTCCTAGATGTACATTTTCATGTAATAGAATCAAATGTCTCATGGCTCTGGTTATAGAAGACACATGAGAGGGAACCCTTTGTTTAGACACAAGGACAAAGAACTTCCATCCCCACTTGAAATTTCATATTGCCTGGTATGGGTGCCAGGGATTCCCCAGCTGGACATTACACAGAATCGAAAGTGTCCAATGCTATTGTGGTACAAGGACATAGGAAAGAATAGGGCAACAATCCTACAAACATAGAAGGTTTGAGATGCAAAGCAGGAAGTTTAGAAAATGCAAAGTTTCCACTTTTGCAGGCCTTTATTTTGTAGGTGCAGTTTACAACTTTAAATGTTATGTTACAACTCTGCCAACATGTTGCCACCTTTCAGTTGCGAGCACAAATCTGAGTACTTGTGCCAGTAATTATCCAATGCCAGGCTCAGATCTGGCACTTAGTTCAGCAGCTATGAATTATCTTCACAGCTCATTTGATAGACACAAGCCACAAATGCAAAATTTTCAGCGTCATAGTCCTAGACACAAGCTTGCCAGATGTACACGGTGTACCACCTGGTTGAAAAAAATTACCATCTTGACTTCTGTCCTCTGAGGATTTAGAGTCTCGTCTTCAAAAACACCTGTTCTCACCACCTACAGTAATTAAATCTGGATTCTTTCTTACCATTAAATATCTTGCCACTGCATGCCACCTTCAGTCTGATGATAGGAAGTACAGCTACAGCTACATCTAGCCGGGGATGGGCAATTATTTTAGGTGGAGGCCCACTTACTGGGTTTTGGCAAGCCATTGAGGGACGCATGACAGGCAGCCAGGGGCAGATAAATATTAATTTTCTTAATTTTGGGGGGTGCCCCATGGGCTGGATAGAATGGCCTGGTGGGCTGCATCTGGCCCCCAGGCCACATTTTGCCCACCCCTGATCTAGCTCCCACTAAAAAGACTACAGAAGCAGAACTTCTGTTCTTTTTTTCGCTGCTGTGGTATACAGTGAAATAAAATTCACCTACTTCTTGGGGTAAGCAGATGAATTTTGTTCTGGTGTTATAAACCTCCTGGCGGAGATACAGCTGATGGATGAAACTTGGGGGGCATGAGAAATGCTGTAAACTTGATCTCAGAACTGAATTCCAAAGCCCAAGATTTGAACCTTGTATGCTGATTTGATGTGTCATTTCCGTCGTTATAATACAGTGACTTTTTGTTGCCATATCCTGTAGTCCAACCAACAGAGAATGGTGTGCATTTAAACCAAGAAGACTGATTTTCTCCAACGTTTTAAGTATGCGTTTCCCCAGCTTTATGATGCTCCTCAAGTGCAGAGTACTATCTGCTGGGATCTAGGCTGACTTACCTCCTGTTGACCACTATTTAATACTTGGGGGTACTCCACGCCTGACAAAAGATGCTTTGGATATTGTAGGACCAGACCCTAAACAAGAATTGTTGAGTGCATTCAAGTTTCCAGTGACCAGGCACTATTATATTTTAGTTTGGGTCTGTGCTTTATTATTATGGATCACAGCAGAAGCCACACCAACTTCCCATGCATCTCCTTTATCAGAAAGGCACATTAATAGTTGCTATAGGAAATTAATCTTAAAAGATATGAAAAAAAAAGGACAGAGGGATAGATTCTCTGAAGCAATAGATACCACAGTGCCACGAGGAAAACCCTGCTGAGGATCCAGCCCAGCCTAAGACACAGCAATTACTGTTGAACATGGAAAGAACAGAGCTAAGCATAAAATAGGAATAATGAATTTGTTGCATATGGGCATGTCTACATGTTAATTAATGTGCTATAATTACAAAGTATTGAGTTTAGTACTTGTAATTAGAGGTACTAATTTAATGAGTCATAATTGGCACTAATTCTACTGTGTATTAGTGCACTAGCATGGGTTTTTTCTGCCACGCTAATGCGTAGTAGAATTAGTCTCATCTAGACACATCATATGTGTACAAAACTGTTTAAGGCTACAGGGGTCCATTATCATCATCTAGTCTGAACTGCTGCATGCAGTAAGCCATTGAATTCCTCCCAGCAATTCTGGTATCAGCCCAAAAACTTCTGGTTGATTCAAACTGAATACATTTCAAAGACATCCAAGAGTTAGTTTTCTCTCCTTCCAATTCACAAATGTACTTTTAAATTACATTTGGCCTGGTTAGAGTAAACACAACAATACTTCTGTAAGAGCCTTCCTGTCTTTGTGCACTATAATAGAGTAGTCTTTCTAATTTAAATGAAACTGTAGCCACTACGCTTCCAATTCCACTACTGAATTCTTCTAGGACATCTCTTCTAGCACACACATAAAGAAACTGTATTATCTTGGCTTTACAGGGTGATCCTACTGTTAATGAATGCTTTCGATCTGGAAGAAGGATTTTTAACTGCAGACAATCTCAACCATATGAAAGAGCAGCTCATGGTGACCTACCCAAATGAATATGTAAAATTACTACCACAGATTAAAAACTGCAGTTTGGAAGCTGAACTAGACACGGTAACTTGTTGCTTTATGTAACAGCATGGATTTTTTTTTTGTTCTGTTTCCTTTTCCCTAGTCAGAACTATGGTAGAGTCGAAAGAATGAGAAATTACTCTTATGTAGATGACTTCAGTGTGATGATACATGGTGCATTTAGATAATGTGAACAAGCATTAGAACAGGCAACAGACTGCAGGCTTTAGAGGAAGATGTTTCTATATTTTGGGATACATACACATATAGCTATTAGCAGAAAAGGCTAGGGTTGACTGTCATAAAATCATAACTTGTTACAGTATAAGACAGCAACCAATATTCTGGGGTAAGAAGGGAACAGATAGGGAATTTTGGCTCAGATCCTACAAGAACTCCAAGGGAAGGGCAGTTTATACACTATGCCTTACCAAAGGCTGTGACACACCCAGGAAATGCACTCTATGACTAGGTTGGGAAAACAAATTAATGAAAAGTACAGACTTTCCCACACTCCTGGCTGGAAAAAGAATCCTTTTCTCATTTCCAGCCATTCCTATGACACCTTGCCTACACACATGAAGCCTGTGTCCTATGTAGGTTGTACTAACATATTTTAAGGTCTACCGACACCTCTCTGATGGATTGAAAAAAATGGCACACCAATCTGCTATGGTAGGCCCCATGTAAATTTTAAATGTGGGCATACTCTTTGAATTTAATAGATGGTCTAAATGATGAATGAATTGTGGGAACCAGCCATAAAGGTGAAGACATCTAAAACCAATATATGATCATCTCCAAGTTGGTCCCGAGACACTGAACTTTTCTAAAAGAGTGGGCAGGATGGAAGAAATACTATAACAGGGCTTCTTCCCTTACCATCCTTTCTCACCTAGTCCCAGGGAGCTAATTAATTCATACTTCTGGCAGATAGTAATGTTGCTAGATGGAAATTGTCACACCACGTGATCTGCTTCACATCCACAAGGCAAGTTATGCAGAGGAGAAAAACAGTGCCCTAGGAACTTGCTTTGCCAGAGAAGAGTCTACCCTGGGATGCTGGAGGACTTGGCTATGCTATCACCCTATACTGTGAAGCATCAGCTTTCCACTGGCCAAGGGAGCAAACTCTTAGCTAAACAAGAATATCTTGTGGGGCAAATACACTCCAGTCTGCCCCTAGCTTTTCACTAAACCAACTAGCACCGTTAGTGTTATGATAAGTAGTGAACAGTATTAGGCATGGCAATGAATTTTAAGATGTTGCTAGGGCGTGTGGTTGATGCCTAACTAGGACAGTTATTGGTTAGTTTGGTTATTACTA